CTTCAATAAAACTCCTGCTTTTAACCGGCTATCTATTCCTGAAATTCTTTTATGTCCCAAAGATACAAATTTCAGTTTGGTTTTGGTAGAAGTCTCTAAAAAATTAAGGGAATTCCTGGGGCTTCTAAGAGTGACAGCATGCTGCCTCTGTCCCCTCAACAATGACAGACATGAGTCTCTATTGAGATGTTTATAAAATGTAAGCATTCTAAGATTTATTTGTAAATAGATTATCCTGTCAGACAAAAAATGTTTCGATCACTAATGTGAAGATGGTACCATTAATATTTAATAACTTAATTCTTCTCTGAATGAAATACAGTTACAAAATCAATACACCTATAAACATCCTGAGTAAATAATAGATGTAGGAAGTGGGAGATTTTTGAACATTTTTGAGCATCTTAGATCTCATGCTAATACAGCCTTACCCTTCAGTTCAGGTGAGAGACAGTACCATTCTCGCCACAGGACTGCTTTATGTTTCCTTTTTCACCAGCAGCTAGCAGAATTAAAACCTTAGCATTGTTATTCTAGATGCCCTGGTACAGACAGGGCATCAAATTTTATTGGAAGTTTGGTCCCACTATGCTTTTACATTCGATTCTGAATTTCGTTGACTTGTCAAGGTTTAAAGCAAACAAATGTAAAAGCTAATTTTGTACCTCGCCCGCACAAGAATATAATTACTCCCTTAGTGGCAAGTTGACACTAAGTGAACTCAACTGCTATTGGAGGACAGTGAGCTTCCAAAGGCCTGAATTGTGACATGAGTAATGCTGGGCTCTGGAGGTGGAGAGACAGGCAGATTATCATCTATTTCCAGGGAGCCCAACATGCCCAGTTCCCATCTGGGACAAAACTGAAATGTATGAAGGTTGTTATCTACAGAGGCAGTTAACCCTAGATTTGCTAGTTACTGCTTAAGATTCCCTCTGCACACTTCGGCTCACCCACTATGCATGGCAATGTTTCCATCATTATCACAAGTAGCATTATGTCACAAGGACAAACCAATTCCTTCCATGCAAATGTAAAACATGTTTGCTCTGAGATATTTCCATCAATGTCAGTGACGCACCAGGAAAACCTGCCCTGTCACTTCCTAGAAGAAAGGGGATGCAAACTGTCATCTCACCCTCAGCTTGAATTCTCAGCCTATCACTTTTTGGCTCACTTGCTTTGGCCAAACGACAGATTCCTTCTACATCGAAGAAAGCTGGCAGATATGAAGCATCCATGTCACTGACTTGATGAGTTGGTTCTCCATATTTAGCAGTCAGTTATGTGAGTAAACCATGGGGCTGCAGGGTTGGCTGGGAAGGCAGAGTCTATATGTAGACATCTAAGTACTCCTCCACAGCTTACACTTTTATTCTTGTCAAGACCTCTTTGGGGGCCCTTGCCTCCACAGCTGTAGAGTAAGAATCAGCCTAGCTTCTCTCAAAGACACTGCTAATGTTCTTGAATCCAAAAAAATGAGATGCGGGGCACTACTACTGTCTTTTGTCTTATCCTACACCAAGCATCAGGTCCTCTTCTAGAAAGGGATGTGGGTTTATGGGGTTTCTTCTCTTTTCCCAGTTTCACAAACCAATTAATAAGGTTTTGCACTTGAGACTAGACTGAGAATAGCCCAGTCCTCGACATATCAAATCTGGTTAAATCTTCTTCCTCCTCCTGGTGGGGTCCTATTCATAGTTCTCAGCTGCAAGTTACCAAATGATAATAGTAACATTCACTTACAAAGGAGACTCAGCACACATTCCTCTCCAGCACTGAAAAAGTCACCAAGACAGGTTCATCACCTGCCCTCATGATGGGAAAAACAAAACAAAAACCACCACCACCACCACCCCAAAAGCAAAGATTTCCAACCTAAGGTTTACCACCTAAGACTTCTCTGATGACAATGGATTTGAGTCTCCTCTATAGGCTGCAGTGATAGAGAGCTAATGGAATAATTATCACATATCAAAATATTTTTTAAGGAAACTCGCGCCTGCTACTTTTATTCTTCCAGGAAACTGCTCCGATCAACTGTTGTACCTGCACTTTCTCTAACCTTCCCTAAAGTGCCAGAACGTCACTTTCATCCAGAGTGCTTCTTGAGCCACATCTGTAAGACCCGATGGTGCTTAAATGAATGTTACAGGTACTCTGTGAGATCACAAGCCGCAGAAATCAATCGGCGTCTTGCATAGAGAAGTCTTGAGATTGATTTTTTTTCCAGGCGAGAGCCAATTTGTGACTTTAGGAGATGCACAGATACCAAGGATGTTGAAAAAAGTATTAGAGCTTAAGAAAAAAGAAAATCACAGAGGTGTGGAACTTGATCTTCTGTACCACTAGATTAGTACTCTGCACTATTAGATTAGGGGCTTCCTCGGGGAAACAGCCTCTTAGATGATGATGCTTTTCAGGAGTGGCTAAAGGGGAAAATGATTGAGAAATGCTAGACAGCTTCTCTAGTGCACCCAGCTTGAAAAGGAGACCCTCCAAGCACAGAAACGGGGTACCATTAGAGAGTTCCCCACGGTCTTGTGTTTGATATGGACTACTGCTGTTTTAAGGATGTGAGCCTCCAGTAGACTCATTGTTTTTAAGGAAAATTTGTATTAACTCTTGGGAATTCCATGCAATGCATTTTGACTCACTCTTATAGCACTTGAGAATTTTGAATTGTGGCAGGGAGTGTAGCTAGCTGAGTGAGAGAGTACTTGTTGAGTGTGTACCAAGCTGTAGATCAAACTCCAGAACTACACTTTAAAAAAGGAAAGAACTATCAGAATGGATGTTTGTTCAATGAAGAAATTTAAACATCATCCAATGTTCTACACCATTTTAGGCATCAAGGGTCATAGCAAGAAATAAAGCCAGTGTCCTGGCTTTTTTCAAGAGTACAGCAGCTTAGAAGAAGGTATGAAAACACAGGAAACAGATCTAAAACATATTCTCCCAAAATACTTTGTTTGGACACAAAATAATTTTGCGTTACTGAACAACCTTACTTCCATTCTATGTCCATCTTCTCTCTTCCAGGGGCTCGTGAATCTTCTACAGACTTTTTACACTTGTTTCTAGTTCATTTTAAAAAGTTCTGAATTATTCAAGACATACATAATACAAAGCCTAAAACTTCACACAAAATCTGATCTGTTTTGAATTCTAAATTCTTCTAGTAATGATGGAATATGCCAAGGTACCATATAAAATTCTTAGATCTTGAGTAAGAATTAAGGGCACAAAATAGAATTTTAGGGTTCACAGAAAGGTCTGTACAGATGTTAGTAAGACTTTTGAGGCTATTTCAGTGAGTTTAAAATTCTCTAAATGCAAATAAGAAAGGTAGGAAACTCTACATGGAAATAACATTGTATTACTTGGTTTGAATAATTTTACCCTTACTTATTAAAGGATAGAAATTATTCAACACAAAAAGTAAACTGAGAAAGTATTCCCATCAGATTGGCCTGTAGGCAAGCCTATAGGGACTTGTTTGATGATTGGTGTGGAAGGGTCCAACCCATTGTAGGTGATTCTACCTGTAGGCAGGTAGTCTTGGATTGTATTAAAAAGATGGATTGAATGAGCCATGGAGAGCAAGCCAGTTAGTAGCATCCCTTGATGGCCTCTGCTTCAGTTCCTGCTTCCAGGATTCTGCCTTGAGTTCCTGCCCTAATGTAACTTCTTCATGGACTATAGCTGCAAGTTGCATTAAATCTTTTCCTCCCCAAGTCATTTTTGGTTATGTCCTTCTTCACAGAAACACAAAGCCAAGTGAGACATCCTGTAAACGTTATGTGAAATTACAGGGCTTTGTTGATATACTTAGTATATTAACACTTTAAAGAAATAATTATGGGGGTTTGCAGGTGAAGGCACTTGCCACCAAGTCTGATGACCCCAGTTCAATTCCTACAACTCCTATAATGGAGAGATCGTGCAAGTTGTCCTCTGACCTCCACAATGTGCTGTACATACACGTACACACTTGCATACACATGCGCATAAATAAATATAAAAATTTATAAAGAAATTATTACAATGATTGGGAGGTGGCTCAATTGTAGTACAGCTGTTCAAAATGTACATGGCTATGAGTTCAAGCACTGGTGACACAAAACTAAAATGGAACAAAGTAACAATAATATGTCTTCAAGTCTCAGCTTCCCTTAATGAGTAGTTCCCAATGGGCAGAATTATAGAAAAAGGTTCTCCTTTATCAAAACTTCAGATGTGTGCCTTTTGACAATGAATGTAACTAGAAAATGGGTGGCATAATAGATCAGAACATATCCTACTACATAGACTATACGCTTGTGCTCACATTACTCTCCTTAGAAGAAATGTATACGTGAAGAAAGCCACCCTGACTACAGTTCATGAGACTAGCCTCACATCTGAGTTTTGCCTCTGTCTGCAGAATTTCAGAACTTTCAGAGTCTGGAACTTGCAGCAGCATACCTTGTTTTTAAAAATCCATTATTACTGTATTACATTTATTTATTTATGTGTGTGTATACTTACATGTGTGGGCATGTATATGGGGTCAGAGGACAGTTTTCAAGCATGGATTCTCTCCTTGCATCCCATGGGCCCCAGTGATCTGACTGAGTTCATCAAGCTTGGTGGTAAGAGCCTTCACCTTAACTATTGAGTCATATAACCAACCTTTTATCCTCTCTTCTCTCCCTTGTTTTCTCCTCCCCTTCCTTTTTCTCCCCTCGCCTCTCCACCCCCTTTCTCTGTCCCAAGGATATGCTTCAGTGGCAAAGTATGTGCCTAGCATATGCAAGAATCTGGGTTTGGTCCTAAAAACTAGAAAAACAAATCTAATCTAAGTGAGTGTACAGCACTCAGAGGTCAAATGCTTCCTAATACACTGACCATGATTACACTATTAGATGTTGCAAATGGCTCCACTCATTTGATTTCTCGAACAAAGATCTATTTCGGAAAGATGAAGACGAAATGATTTTCAGTTGCTATCTGCTTACCTCCGATTCAATTCTGCCCCCTCTAGACCCATTCCATTAGAGATGTGGGGGACATATACCATGAGGAAGAATGAAACAAAATTATCCTTCCAGATGCATCTGTATGATGAAGAACCGGGAAGCAGATATAAGGTAGTGAAGTAAACTGAAGCCCCCAAGAACCAACCACTCAAATATGATGTAGAGGAAAGCATGAAATACAGCTTCAGATACTCACGGGTAAATGATCAGGTGTGGACAAACTGACACTATCAAGACTCTCAGCACTGTCACAGCTAAAAACATCATCATCTGATTCCCGCACAGAGGAGCAGAGTGAGGCGCTGTCAGCTTCTTCAAGCGTCCCCTTTAAAAGTCCACTCATAGCTGTCACATGGACCTGCAGAAGGAACGGGAGGCGAGCATTGAAATCTGTGCCCGCTGACTGCAGTCAAGGACTTAGTCTTCTTGGGGTTGGGTGCTTCGAACCACACAGACAGCCACACTTCCTGTAACACTGAAAAGCGTTGTGAGCAACTACACCCTAATTCACTCTTACTTTGCATTCTCATTCTGGCAATTCTCTTTCTGTAAAAGCGAGTTCAAATTAAGAATGTGGAGTAAGAATGCTGCATAAGGAAATACAGCTTCATGTTTTCAAATGCCAAAACTCAAGTCAAATGCATTCATTTGATTTGTTCTAGTAAATCGTGTACTGTCATTGACAGAGCCAGAGTTCAGAACAAAATGGATCACTCACTTGAATGCTGTCATACTGGGAGCATGCTGATGAGAGTATGTCTATCTTGTTGGGGATTTCTTTTTTCTCAAGTACAAAGGCATCTACTCTCCTGGGGCTCTTTGTCCATCAATAATCAAGTTGGTTGCTAGGAATGGCAATACCTGCAGAATTTAGATGCCTTATCATGTTTCCAGTCAATTCAGCTGAGCCACAGGGAATATTCAAGGCCTATGCTAAGGATAGCTGAATAGATTTTACACATGACAGACTGCAGTCCTTAAATCTTTTTGCTGGATAAAGCATTAATTTAAACTTCTTCACTCTTTGTGGCAACACAGGCAGGGAGAGTCAGTCAGATACAGGCATATTCACAATTAAAAAAATTGTTAATGTCAAGTTCTATGAATCATTAAACTACTGAGAGTAACACTTTCTCTGCATCTATAGAGAAACAGTTAAGGTAATGAGGGGTTGTGAACCCAGATACCTACAGTGGTAGACCTTCAGGAGGGAATAGGGTCAGGGGTGATAAAACCATGAAATCTTCTTCCTTGTCTTTTTATGTGCTGTTTGTAACAATGCTACCAAGAAATATGCACTTTCTAAGAGAAAATGATACATAACTACAACAATAAATAGTCTCCCAAAGGAGTAGACAGTAGGTGGTGGGCTCTGTGATGTGGTAAATGAGAGACTAACTTCCAGGTTTGCATAAGGAATGCCTACTTGGGTTTAGGTCATTTTGACTGAATGCATTCACAACTTAGCCAGCATAACCTGGCCAGTGCCTTTACAGATCCAGAAGCATCCTTTACAGTACTAGATGTCATACTCCACATCTGTTTATCACTTACTGATTTTGTTTACATTGTACTGATTCAACAACATAGACAAGAATGGCCAGCATCAGTGACGTGGATGGATAACTGCATGGGGTATCAAAATCTTGTCTTCCCCGTTAACACAGGCCCTTAACCATCCATGCATTGCTGAGTGAACCAACAGCACAAGAAACCCTGGCAGCATGAGCTACATATGGGAAGTGACCTCTTAAGACACACCTCAATATGGCAGCTCAAGACATGGCTTCTGGTAGCATGGAGGAAGTCCAACTTCAGGGACTTGTTTTTAAAAGGTCTGCTTTGGGGTCTTTCTGCCATTATTGACCAGATGCTGTCTCTTAATTTTGGTGACCACAATTCCATGGGACATTTTTGCTCCAGGTCCCTTGGATAACAGGCTTCCTCTGTCTCTGCACTCTCTGGTTGTGCAGGCTCCTGGCTGAAACACGGATCATCTTCAAAGGCTTTCTCTCACTTTATAATCTCCTGCTAGCATCAGCATTGCTCACCTTAGTCTAGTTATTCACTTATGTTTCTCTTTGAGTGTCTTCATTGGTCATTTATGCCTTTCTGTTTAGTAGGCATTTATTATTTACTTGGTTACTATATGTATTTTCTCACGTTTCAGTGTTATTTTTAAGATTTCTTTTTTTTTTTTTGGTTGTTCGAGACAGGGTTTCTCTGTGGCTTTGGAGGCTGTCCTGGAACTCACTTGGTAGTCCAGGCTGGTCTCGAACTCACAGAGATCCGCCTGCCTCTGCCTCCCGAGTGCTGGGATTAAAGGCGTGCGCCACCAACGCCCGGCTAAGATTTCTTTACTTTTAATTATGTATATGGATGCATGTCTGTGTTGCGTATGTACATGTGAGTTCAGGTACTCGCAGAGGCCAGAGGAAGATGTTGGATCCCCTGAATCCAGAATTATAGGCAGTTGTGAGCTCCCAAACATGGGGGCTAAGGACTGCATTTGGCTCCTCTCAAGAACAGCAAGCATTCTTTCCTGCTAAAATATATCTTTAGGCCCACTGCTATTATTTTAGATGATACAGAATGGCAGAGAAGCAATATGTTTTTAAAACTCCTTACTATTGTGTGACAGTGTTCACTTGGAGCTAATGATATAGGAGGAGGCAAGTTAACAACATACAAATCAACTTAAATATATATTATGTCATACAGAGGTGAGTGCTAGGGAGTAAAACCAGCACTGGAGGGATACAGTGACCATAATTTGGCCATACAGAGGACATTCAATGTTATTTGTTTGGTGAGTGTCACAGTGAAGAAGGAGGTGAGTTGGCACCTTGGATGTTGAGGAAGAGTGGTCCAGGATGAAGGACCAGTTGTGTGTCAAGGGCTTGAGAAGCACATGCTGGTGGTGAAATTAGACAGGTGTCTCTGGATAGAAAGCAGAACTTAAAGTTTTTTTAAACATTTCTCTAATTGAGAAGAATTCACTGCAGGACTCTGACATGTGCACATACATGAGTGAGTGAGTGAGTGAGTGTGTGTGTGTGTGTGTGTGTGTGTGTGTGTGTGTGTGTGTGTGTAGACTTACTAGTTACTTGATAATAGTGGTGAAATCTTGCCTGGTACAGTTCAATTCAGATACTTTGTACCACTTTGTATGCTTCTTTGGCAAATAGAATTAGTGATTTAAAAAAGTAATTATTCCTTTATCAAATTAAAGAAATAATTAGAGAGCAGATTTCAAATGAATAGTAATCATTGCAAGGATTTATTTGTTGATTTAGAATTAAAAGTACAAACAGCGACTTTAGTCACATCCTCCTAAAGTTGCTCAGTCCATATTTTTCTTTTTAAGGCCAATACAAATTCACTACCTGCTCTGCAAGAATTTTAAGACTTGGACCCTAAGTTGGCTTTGTTTGAAATGTAGTGGTGTCTCCTTAAAAACTCTCTTGGAGACAGTACTTATCCTACAGTGGGAAGAACTCCTTCCCTTCAAGTCACTCATGCAGAGGTGTTCTAAGTCTTGCAGAGAAGTTTGGGAAGGTCTTTAATTGACCTCTTTTCTTGATGTGGAATCAATCTAAAGCATTTGTTGTATTTTTCTCATTTATACTCTGACGCCTATATGTGCTAAAGACCCTTGCACGTCCCTATGATGAGAGCAGAAGACAGAAACTGGTCAGGTAAGACATAGATCCCAAAGTAACAGTTCCAGAAGTGACCTTGACAGAAAACAGAGCTTCCAGGAGAGCTCTGGCTCCTGATTCCTTGTCTCTTCTCCTGAGAGAGTAGCCCTGCCAAGAAGCTAGATATCCTAATGGCTGTTGACACCCATCTCTGGGCCTGCCATCCAGGAGTTCTACCTTATCTCTCTCAAGCTCCCATCAATGAATCTGCAACAAAACTTTGCCCCTGTGTGGTCCTTGAATTTCACTCTTCAAAGTCATGAGACAAAATCCCACTGGGCACTGACCCAGTAGACTTTGTGTGTGATGGTGAGTGTCTAGTACTCTAATTATTCAGTTAAAGCCCACCTGAAGTTAGAGAAAAGGTCTCAGTAAAAGCTTTTGTAATTTTACGTATCCAACAGCCTAATTCCTACTTTGAATTCCACCTAACACAAAAAAAGGCCTCCATCAAATTCTGTGACACCACAGTTCACCCCCATGTCTCACCTGCCATCAGTCTCAGATTAGAAGCATGACATTACCCCATCTCAGGGAACCTCTTCTGCTATCCACTGTCTGCCTTTTTCTATTAAGTTCCACCTATGAATCTTACAATACAATTTCTTCCTAAAATCCACCCTCCATGGCCTGTGAACTGCACTGTTTGTATCTCCAAGACAGGTCCCACAGGCCACTTACTCAGTGGGTGTTTTGTGTGTCTATCGGCACTGGGCACCCTAACTCATGAGTTAATGGCCCCATGAGTTGAGAGAAAAAGGACTCCATTGAATTCAAATGTATTTGTTTCTGGTACTCATTCAGAGAAAACCTGAATTGTATAGTTGGATACTTAAGTGAGAAAGGGGAGGAGGGAGAGAGGGAGAAAAAAAGGAGAGAAGAGACAGAAAAGAAAAAGAAGAAAGAAAATATTTCATCCTGCTTTGTTTTCACCAATCTGGTCCCTTTTTCTCCACTAGGGCTCTATATTATAATTACTTTAATGGCAACACAAAAACCAGTCAGGAGGAATGAGGCTGTGAGGGAGATCAGAATACTATCCGAATTCAGATGTCTGCAATAATAGGTGGGTAGGAAGGCATCTTAGGAAGTTACCATGAATGCTTTTCAATGAGTATTTTGTTTTGTTTTAATCTATAGCTAAGCGAAAATCATAAGCAGTATTTGAAATTAGCCTATGAAACAGAATTTTTGAGACCTCAGAACTGGGAGGGACTGTTTATCAAACTCAGAAATATAGACTACTTGATTGATATTACCTAGCAGTGAGTGTTGCATTTGCTGTGTATCTGCTGTAAATCAGTTATGTTTGAGTTCTACTTCAGAGTTCCATGACAAGGTGCTACCTTTCTTACTTGCAAAATGTATGGGGCCTATTAAGTGTTTGAAATCCACCTAATGAAATACTGTATTAGTTCCAATATAAAGAGTTACAATTTGTACTGTAATCAGAGGATCATGAATGCTTTTGTTCCTACATTGCTACAAGTTGTAAATTTTATAATCCTAACTTAACCAAAGGTGATAGCATCAAGAGGTGAAGTTTTAGGGGAATCTTTATGTCATTGAGGCTAATAAGTAAGAGCCTCTCACCCCTGCTCAAATTCCTTCCCATTCTTCTGTGAGGTTAGTCTCCCCAGACACAGAACATAATGGG